TATTATTATTTTCATAATCCATGTGTATCTATTTCAATTAAATAATACAAACTCCAAAGTTCCCTATTATCACTGAAAATGTGCTAAATTTCATCTCATACCAATGTGTGGAATTTCTTTCTATTTAATTCAATCCACAACTATTCAATCCACAATATATTCTCATGAATTTCATTTCCTAAGAAATCTTATAACTGTAAGGGATAATTTCATCGGGACCTTCTCTTGCGGGGACGATAGTCAATAGTGTAACCTTTCGTAATTAGGATAACTTTAATATAAATTGAAGCAATACAGCACAGCGTCGTACAAAACTCATGTCGCATCGCTCTCTCTGGACTCCCTGCTCGTCTTCTCCTATCAACAATCTCCCTGTTTTTCTCCTCATTACTTTGTTCGCGTATGTGCAACAGCGCCTTCGGCCTCAGGCCTCTGCGACGTTCGGGGCATGCTTGCGCACATCTTTCTGCTTCTTACTTTCAAAAACGCTTACATAACACAGTCTCATGATTATTCCCGGCATAAAATTTGAGATACTAATACAATCTCTTGAATCAAATCTTTCCTCCGAGCTAATCGGAATAATACTAACGAGATATACAGGATGTTTGGTAACTTATCCAGCCATAGCGAATGAAAGTATGGTGCTAACTAAAACAAACGTTAAAGTCCCATACAGTTTTGCTAAATTCACAATAATTAAAATTTATTTATTTATTACTCATTTATTTTATAATATTTTCATATATAGTTAATTACAGTACACTATCTAGATCGGATCATACTTTAAATGGCATTTGTTACATGTACATAAAATATAATGTATTATCGTAACAAAAACCTGCGTTTTTAAATACGACAATGCGTCATATTTTATTCATGGAGTAACTATACGACAAAATATGTACCAAATCTTCTCATCAACTTTCGCAACGAAAACCAGTTTTTAATTATGATTATAATTTTTGACAGCAACAAATGTTCCCACGAAATATCATGTATGTTAATAGGAGTAAGTTTTAATTGCGGATCAATCAAGAACGCCAAGATATATTTATATCATTATATCTACTAAAAACAATATATATATATATACATCAAAATTATATAAAAGTATAACAATAAATATACAATGTAACAATAAATAATATGATAAATGTTTAACACACAACATACAAGTATAATATATAAATATATAATATAAAAGTACGCAATATATAAAACATATAGTATATATCAAAATACATAACAATAAGTATAGATTAACAATACATAAGAGACTTATATTCCTTTAAAATATTCCGTGTAACCCAGCAATGTAAACAGCTCGTTTCGAAGATAGTTCTTCGATGGTTCTGCGCCTAAAATGCGTGCTCGCTCAACAATTACGACAGACTTTGATTCTTATCATAACCGATCAACGCGTGTAAGTTCGTGATTGGGACTCGTAACATGGTTACTTCATGTATTTCCTTCATGAAGAAAATGTTCAAACTCTATTCACAGTCGTCTTGACGTGACCTTTCTTGTTTGTCTGATATACCTCGCTTTCGGATATTGTCCATATCATATAAGTACCAATAATTTCAAACAGTCGCTCGTCGAACATACAGGATACATATCGAAACTTGTCTCTTTCAGATATCAGGAATCAGTCGAAGAAAAGAAATAAAGTTGTGCGGTTACGCAGATTATACGACAAATTATTGCACCAAGCCAATTGAAAAGAACAGAATCTCAATTAATAGTGAATCGATAGAGAGAAACCGGAACAGTCTTTAGAGGGCGATCCGTGCGACAAACGTTAGAAAAAGGGAGAAGCATTGAAAAGTGTATAAGGGTATTTTATCGACGTAATATCTGCGAACAGAACTTCTGTCTGAAGATGGATATGACAGATCTCGACGAGATCTTCGGACTTAATAATTATAAATGGAGCAATTACTACTACCAAAGCAGCGATTTGGTAATCTCGTAAAATTACATTATATGAAAGCGCAAGGACGTTAACATGTTCTTGGTAAGGCTATAACTTTGTTTATAATTTGCAGGAAGATGTGTTAAGCGAACTACGATGTCTTCTACCTAACGAACAAGAAGGAAGCAATGTTATGCAGCCGGGACCGTCTTCCGTGAATGATCCGTGCGGCGAACCTCCCATCAAGGGGAGTAACACTAACAAATACAATAAAATTCCAAAACAATGCGACAGAAGACATGGGTTGATAGATCATTGCGAGAAGGACCAACGTCGCATTTACAAATGTAAACAATGCGACTACGGTACCAACCGTAAGAATAACTTGAAAAGACACGAGGAAACACACATAAGAAAACGTCCGACCTATAGCGGCGGCTACATGTGTACTGAGCCGGGCTGTAACAAGATATATAAGAATAAGTATAGTTTAATGATTCACATGACATATAATCATAATAATAACAAGATGGAAAGCAATAATATGGAGCCGGAACCGTCCGCAGAGAGTAATCTATACGGCAGAAAGCTAAATGAAAAGTACAAAGTTTCTAGACAATGCAGAGTCTGTGGTCAAATTTTCTGTAATAAGAAAATGTTAATAGATCACTCAATGAAGGTTCACCAATGTTGCGTTCACATATGTGAAGACGAAACATGTAATTACGAAACGAACGTACTGCAAAACATGCGAAAGCACTTTGTAGCAAAGCACATGAATAATAAAAACTAAGTATGTAGCGAGATTGACTGCAACTGGGTGAGCAAAGATTAGCAGTAGCTAAGACAATACGTACGACGCTTTCACCGTGACAAATAAAAGAAAAGCAGTATTGAGGACCCAGGGTCGTCTTCAGAGAGCGACCTGTACGGCAAACATTTCAGAAGAAGCCCCAGCATTGAAAAGCCCATAAATGTGCCTCATAAATGCAAAATCTGCAACGGAATGTTTCTTTCTAAGCAACAGTGGAAAAAATACCTCATAGATCTTTATAAACAATCCATATGCAACTGCAGCCATGGTTAACTACGTATTTAACAAGGAGAATAACTTGCAAAGACACACGAAATCACACGGACACTTATGACTAAATGTGTACTGAGCCTGTCTGTGGAACTATAAATAATAGGCGGGTCTGAAGACGCACATACAATCGTCCTATCAACCAGAACAATAGCAAAGCACATGGACAATTATGACTACGTGCGTAACAAGGAAAGCTGCTACAAGGAATTCAAAACTCGAGGAGGAACTGAAGAAACAGGTAACATATGACCTTTCCAAAGATACCTACTAATGCCGAAAATATACTGAAGTAAATTCTAATTTTTTAAAGCGCGGAAAGCACAGGAATGTGCGAAGAAATCCAGAGATTCAATTTGTGGCAAGGCTATATTAACAAAGAAAGGGTCGGAATTGTTCCTCAAGGATTTTGACGGGCTTTGAATATATAGCAGAGCAATGAGAACTATTACATATGAATTTTTTTTACCTGCGAATCTCAAACTTTAGAAGTGTGCGTGAAACAACCCCTGAAAAAAACCAATATTTTAATTTTTTGCGAATATCTTGTAAAATGCGAGGTATATGAAAAAATGTGCAGCACAAAAGTTTTACAGTATTTTATACTATTTGCACTTAATTTGATGATTTTGAAATTTCCAAAGATCGATAAATTAACAAAAGTAAAGGCACTATTATAGCAATATATTTTTCAAATTAAATAAACTTAAAAGCTCTAATTTTTTCCATTTTTTCTTTCGACAAATGATTAGCGAGATATCTTAAGTTAAATATTGAAAAAGTTATCAAGTTTTCCCTGAATATCTCAAAAAATATTAGGCACATAAAGAAATGTTCAGACAAAAGTTGATAAAATTTGTGTGGCAGAAAAAGAAGATATAATGAAAAATTTGGTTTTCTATTTAAAAAAATTAAGTTGACCTTTAACCCACTTTAAATATACGTTTCAAAGTTAAACCAGGGACACTATTGTATGTCCCCCTTTAAAACATACAACTTTTATTTAAAACATTTCTTTCTCCATCGTTTCGTTTTTGAGATATTTTGCATCATGAACTTAAATGTTTCTCCCTGTATAAGGCACATTCATCTACTTAATATTTTTATTCGTGTAATAAATTGCTTATTGTTGCTTATTATTAAAATTAATTCCCTTGCATATTGTATGTATGAGGAAGTATATAAATATAAGAGACAGTTATTGAGTACAGCGCAACTGAAAAGAAATAACACCACACCTATCTACAGCATGGCGTCTGTAGCACGATGTTGTCTCGTTTTTCTAAAAATTAATCATGACCATATTGTATTATTATATATGGATGGATTTGGTATCAAATGTTCTTTAATTTCTGTCCTCATGAAATTTTTTAATTTTGCGAAATTAAAAAGATAGGGGCGGGAGGTAGGAAACTTTGACACTTTTGAAAAATCTGAATATACCGTTACAAATAGTATAAAGTATTATGAAACTTTTATAGGAAATATTTTTTCATATACCTCGTATTTTAAAAAATATTCGCAAAAAATTAAAATGTTAGTTCCTTTTAGTTGTTTCACCCTTTAAACCTTGAGATAAAAAAATTATGTGTCTAATTTCTTGTTGCTCTACAACATATTCAAAGGCCATCAAGTGCCCACACAAATACACACACTCACTCACACACAATGTCCGCGCGCAGTGAATATTCTAAAGCAAATCTTTTTGTAGAAATATGTTTTTAGCTCTTTTTAAATGGTAGTTTTGTCCCTCAACATGTATTCGTAATAATTTTATATCTTCTATATATTCTTATATATGCTAACGCGTGTATGTATGTATGTGTATATACGCATGCATGCACATAAATGCTCGCCCCCAATTTGCTGTGTGAAATAATAAGACAGTACATAGGAAAAAATTGGCGGATGACTATATAACGAATATTGTGTATACTTTGCTTACACGACGAGCTGAACGTAATATTAAAATTTTATTTTTATGTAATAAGATAGACAAATTTTTATATTGTACAAGTGATGATTTTAAAATAAGATGAAATGTTTGTTGTAAACGTGGATATTTACATATTCCATTAACACGAATTATAACAGTAGCATTACATCAATAATATAACATTGCAGTTAACTATGTAAGAATATAAATGAATGCATATGTAATATAATACATCTTGCAAATTATAGTTACATCGTTTAGCAAGAAATTGTGTCATTGATATAATTTTTCTGTACTAGTTTGTGCTTTAACACGTTGACTGCCAACTACGAGATATCTCGTAGGTTGTTTACTTGCCCAGGACGCCTACTACGAGTTATCTCGTCCCTTCATTACTTGCCATATTTGTACAGCTACGAGGAAACTCGTAGCATAACAGTGTAAATATGAATAGATGGCCTCAGGAAAGAGAATAAAAAATGTTTTTTAAAAAAAAACATTTTTTAAGCTTTTTGATTATTACTATATACTATTATTAAAGTTTTTAATAATTTAACATGTTTAAATCAAATTGGCTCTTTAGACCGGAATCGTGAAAAATTCCGTGGCAGTCAACGTGTTAACTATGATATAATAAAAAGAAATATATATATATATGTAAATTTTTTTGTAATATATCAGGTGTAGTAAAAAGAAATCCATTATTTTTGCATAAAATTGAAGGCTTTAATTACCATAGTTAGAATGATCCGATTTAGGTCAAATATGCGCCGTTTTGTTCGATAACTTGTTGCCATTTTGAAGGTAATTTCATTATGCCTCTCTCATAGAAGCCCTCGTTCCTATTGGCAAAAAGTTGAGGCAGTCGATTTTCACAAGCCTCTCTTGAAGAGAATTTTTCACCAACAAAATTGTTCGCCATGGACAGGAACAGATGGTAATCACTTGGTGCCAGGTCCGGACTATAAGGTGGATGCATAAGAACCTCCCAACCAAGCTCCCGGAGCTTCTGGCGAGTCACTATCGATGTGTGTGGCCTGGCGTTGTCCTGATGGAACACAATTCCTCTCCTATTGGCCAAAGCTGGCCGCTTCTGGGCGATTGCTTCCTTCAGACGGTCCAATTGTTGACAGTACAGTTCCGAGTTAAGAGTTTTGCCGTAGGGGAGCAGCTCATAGTAGATAATTCCCTGCCAATCCCACCAAACACACAGCAAAACCTTCCTGGCCGTCAATCCTGGCTTGGCCACCGTTTCCGCCGGCTCACCGTGATTCGACCACGACCGTTTTCGCTTGACATTGTCGTAAGTGATCCACTTTTCATCACCAGTGACCAACCGCTTCAGAAATGGGTCGATTTTGTTGCGATTCAGCAGCGATTCGCAGATGGAAATTCGGTCCATGAGGTTTTTTTTCGTTAACTCGTGTGGCACCCATACATCGAGCTTCTTTTTGTATCCAGCCTTATTCAAATGGTTCCAAACGGTTTTTTGTGCAATCTTTAGCTCTTGGGCAATCGAAACAGTGCTTACATGACGGTCGGACTCGACAATGTCCATGATTTTATCGATATTTTCGACAATTGGCCTTCCAGTGCGTGGTGCATCTTTGACGTCGAAATTACCGGAACGGAATCGACGAAACCAAAATTGCGCGTGATTGGCTGTTACAGTATCAGGACCATAAACACTATTCACATTTTCAGCCGCCTGGCTTGCGTTTTCGCCTTTATCGAAGAAAAACTATAAAATATAGCGTATTTTCTCTTTGCTAGTGTTCATCTTTGACGTGCGCTCAAACAAAACTGAGTCAACTAATCATAAAACTGTCAGAAAAGTTTTTTTAGTACGAAATCTCATCTTTCTAACGCCATCTAGTGGTACCCGATCGGACTTATACAACGCGAGATACAGATAACTAAAGCCATCTATTGGAAAAATAGATGGCTTTAGTTATTAATGTATAATTGTGTCTATGTACACAGTGTCGGAAAGTTATATTCTATTTATTAAAATTCTTTTGTTAATGATTTTTTAATAAACAATGAACGACGGCTAAAACTTTTTGATTGATACTTAGGAAAGTGTCCTTGATAAAATATGTCAAGGTTAAGGACATCGGCGAGGGGTAAGTAAGGGTAAATCTTTACCCGGTTGATTTATTAGGTTTATAAAGTTTGTTACTGGTGTTTATCAGGTAGGGACAAAATTTATGTACAACAATTTTTATCTAGAATATGAGCAGACTTTTTTACATCGTGTGTTCAAAGATAATCATCTGGCTGCCTATTTTAATATACTATTTTAGACTGAAGTTTCAATAAATTTACATTTTAATATATTTTTGTTATATTTATTAACTGTGCTGTTTATGATAAATACTATATATATAACAAAATTTGTTGAATATTCAGAATACTCCTTTTGATTCAACGCCCTGAAATATCTTAAAACATGTTCAACATCATTGTTAAGACTGCTGTACAATATATCATTCTTCGAAGTCGAATGCTTGACATATGCACATTCAGATGTTTACTATTGTACAGAAGAGTCAAGAATCGGTGCCCCTATTGAATGACCATGTCGTAACATTATTCCTCTTAATATCGAATATTCTTACGTTGTTTTATACCTCTCAGTAAACATTGATTAATGCACTAATATTGAACAGAAATAACAAGTAATATGGATATAGACAAAGAATCGAGATGTATTTTTGCCGAAAAATTATATTCGTACTTCATATTGAAATAGACAAAAGACGAAAAGCGTCGCTTATCAGGTTTTTGTTTGTATACATTTCGCGACCATTGCTCGTCACGTGATAAAAATCTGTCCATGAGAGCAGTTTGTAACAAACACAATATATACAATATTAGGAGACAAGTTCCTACAATAATATGACACCAATTATATGAATGTTTCCAAAATGTGACTTATCATATTTTATACTTAATATTACAACAATAGATGCGAGAAACATTATTCACGTATAGCATTGTTACATAGATGCTAATGATTTATCAGAAATAATGTTAATATACGTAACTAGGATGTAATATCGCATTATTATGAACGGAGAAGCTATATAGATGAATGGCAAATTTTAACCAACCAGTAAGTTATCGGCAATATTCATGTAATATTATTTGTAATTTTACGTATTGTATTTCTATAACACATTTTACGTATTGTGTTTCTATAACACTAATATAACTCTGTTTACTGGGTAGTAAATATGTTACACTATATTATAATCACTAGAGAGATACATTATACAAGCATGAGTTACAAAAACATGATCACAGCATTAGGATCATCGCTTGTTTTAATCTATCGAAACTCTAAAAACATCATACCGCAATAAAATAAACTAAAAAACGTAATAAAATACTATATCCATTAATATATATTTAATTATCAAATTATACATATACATATATACTTATATACATATATATAATTCTAATCAGAAAAGGCAAGGAATAAGCGCGGTAGGAGACATGTCTGAATACTGAAATAACATTTATTCATTAAGCGTCCTATAATTCTCTCTGAGACCACCAACTGAATATTCTTAGCAAATTTCGTAAGGCACAATTTTCCGTACAATTATTACATCGGAAAATATTATTCAATTAGTGCAGAGAAAGGATATCCTTGTAATCAATGCTCATAGTCTCGATGATCATGCTGCTTCTAATATTATCACCCAGAAGGTATGCTAACTATACTCGCTCTTTGAATTCTTTTACATACATGAGCAGGGACGCAAAATCTTCAGGTTTTCCATATCATCCACCACGAATAAAGGGGTAAAGAATCAATTTGTAGCATAATTCATGTAGATTGGCCATGATGATTGTAGATGTATGAATTAAGCAGGATAGACTTTGCGAAGCTGTTAGGTGACAGAATAATTCCGTCTTCCAGTATCACTGGACTGATAAGACTGATCTTCCTACACATGAGCGACCTCGATTTTTTATATTATTCAGTTCGTGATAAAAGACAGTTTAGTTATCTTTGCGTACTACATTGGCCAACGGACTGAATTCAATCACACAACCATGCTAATTGAGACAGTAGATCATTAGTTACATTCTCCTTATATTCTATTGACACATCCACAGTTGCGTTCTTAACGGATGCGTTTTGACGTGAATAATCCGTGACTACAAAGACGACGCAGAAAAAAAGTTCGACCGTACATTGAGCAGTACATTGCTGCATCCGTAATATGACGTGCGTATATGTCGTATAAAACAGCGTGTTTCTTTAATCAAAATTCATGTTCATGTCGACGAACGAATAAAATTTCGAGTTGAGATAAATTTTCATGTTGGTCAATCTGCAATCATCAAACATGCTCCCATTATGAACTATGTTATTGTTTCGATAAAAGTACAGAGGAAAGATAGAGGAAGTGCAGATGAGGCGCATCGCGATTTTCTCTGCTGAGTCGTAGCTTTGACGGCCCACGAATGGTCATGTTCTATAGGAGTCGAAAAAATCCCACGAGCAAAAACACATACTCAGATATTGATCAATTTCCAATGCTCTGAGAATGGATAGCTTGTTAATCTTATTCAATAAACATTAGATATTCGCCATTGTATATTACAAAATTTAATCTTTGGGTTAGTCGTAACGTTTCCCATGACGCAATTATTGTCATTGTATAATCATATCAAAAACAATTCGTGACGATTCGTTTGTAGTTCTTGCAAAAATTCAACTCAACAGTGTGTTGAACGTTTCTCTCCGCAAAAATCGATCTATCGCTTGATTTGACATATGACACGTATCGTTAACTCCGTAATCCTTCGTGCAATGAATAGCGGATAAAAGATCTATGTCGGTGTTTATCAGATTTTATATTCGAGCGGTATGTTGAGTCAAAACTCATGCATGATATGAGTATGCTTGTCATTACTGTCCGAACCAGAGGTCAAATAATACAATAATATATCAAAGAGTTATATTCTTTTTGAATATTTCCGCCTATCTGAATGTAAACAGTTCGTTTCGAAAATTATTCTCCGACGGTTCTAAGACCTTTGGTCTTTGACCAAAGAACGTTTACTCGATAATCGTGTATAATTGTGAGTCTTATTATAACGGACCGCCGCGCGTAAGTTCGTGATTGGGGACTAGCGACAGTTATTTTATGTGTTTCCTTCATGAAGAAAGTGTTCTAACTCTATTCGCAGCTGTCCTGAAGGGACCTTTTCTATATTTGTCTGATATATCTAGCTTTCGGATATTGTCGATAACAAGTACCAATCATTTCGAACAGTTGCCAGTCGAACATATACAGTACACATCGAAACTTGTCTCTTTCAGTTATCAGTTCAGTTAGTCGAATCACGAAGAAATCAAATAAAATTGTGCGGTTACGCAGACAAATTATTGCGCTAAGCAAATTGAAAAAGAGCAGAAACTCAATTAGGAGAGAATGAATAGAGAGGAAACGGAACAGTCAGAAGGCGACAAACGTTAAAAAAGGGAGCAGCATTGAAAAGTGCATAAGTGTATCTTATCAATATAATATCTGCAAACACAACTTCTGTCTGAAGATGGATATGACAAAGCGACATTCCGACGAGGTCGAACGTAGCACAGATACATCCAGCAGTTACAACTACGAAAGCAACGATACGGTAATCTTGCAAAATTACATTATACGAAAGCGTAAGGACGTTAATTTGCAGGAAGATCTGAGGAGCCAACTACGATGTCTTCAATCTGACGAACAAAGGAAAAACAATGTTATGCAGCCGGGACCGTCTTTTGAGAGTTATCCGTAGGGCAAACATTCCACCAAGGGGAGCAGGACTAAAAAATACAAAAGTGTTCCTCAACAATGCAGCATTTGCAAACAAATGTTTCGCGAAAAATATGAGTTGATGGATCACTTCGGGGAGGTCCACAAATTTCGCATACACAAATGTAACCATTGCAACTACGAAACTAAGCACAAGCACAACTTGACAAGGCATGAGAAAATACACATAAGAAAACATCCGAGCAATCGCGGCTACGTGTGTACTGAGCCCGGCTGTAACAAGACATATCAACAACAGCAGAGTATGAATTGTCACATCCTGATAAATGACCATGAGAATAAGAAGGAAAGCAATAATACGGACTCAGGACCGTCCTCCGAGTGTAATCTATGCAACGAACTTTCCAGCGGAATGAGCAGCATCGAAAAGTGCACAAGAGTTTTTAGACAACACAACATTTGTAGTCGAATTTTCTGTACTAAGCAAGAGTTGCTAAATCACTTAACGAAGATTCACTAAATTTACATGCATCAATGCAGAGACAGCGACTGAAAACCAACCACAAGGGCAACTTTCAAAAGTACCTTAAAATAAAGCATACGAATAGTATGAAGGACTACAAATGTATTAAGATTGGCTGTAACTGAATGGGAAAAGATCAAAAGAAGCTAAGACATGTAAGACGTGTTCACCCTGACGGACAAAAGGAAAGTAGTATTGAGGACCCAAGGCCGTCCTCTGAGAGCGACCTGTACGGCAAACATTTCAGAAGAAATCCCAGCATTGAAGAGCCCATAAGTATGCTTCAGAAATGCAAAACCTGCAACAGAATCTCTGTTTCTAAGCAAAAGTGGAAAAAATACCTCCTAGCTCTCTACAAACAACTGCAATACTAATGCAACTGCAGCCATGGTTAACTACGTATTTAACAAAGAGAAAAACTTGCGAAGACACATTATAAGAAATCACACGGACAATTATCACTAAGTGTGTACTGAGCCTGTCTATAACAGGAAGTATAAATGATATGCGGATCTGAAGACATACATACAATCGTCCTATTAAACAGAAGAAAGGCAAAAGTGCGGAAAAATTCAACGCTATCTATCACGAATGAAAAAAATTGTTTCCATAAAAACTTCACGTAAAATCTAATTCTGCAATGAAAAATGTGGGTTCTCATTTGAGATTTGAACGTTACCACCCACCCTACCCCGAGGGGATGGAGGGGAATAACTGTTGTTATGTTTTTTAAAAATATTTTTAAAAATATTGAACAGGTATTTTTTATTTTTCAATCCAATGATCATTTCTGGAGAACTGCAGAAAATCGAATTATTTGCGATTACAGCGCCATCTATCACGAATCAGAAAAAAAGTTTCGAACGAAACTTAAGTATTTTATGGCGTAGAATCCGAATCTGCAATAAAAAATAGGGGTTCCTATTTAAGATTTCAAAGTTGCCCCCCACCCCCACCCCCCGGGAGTAGGGTGGGAGGTGGGGGTTTGATATCATTGGATGTCTCCCTTCGAGACGAACAAATTTCATTACCCACTTTTTTTGATCCGATATGTAGTTTTCCAGATATTACGATTTGTCAGGTTAAATGGGACACCCCGTATAAGGTTGGAATAGCATTTCCCTATGTTTTCGGCATCAGAATTCGTTAGATTCACAACAAAATTCAATATGGCGGAATTTTTGAAAAGAAGTCGTGAAAAACCGACAATTTTATATTTTATAAGCTTGATTTCAGATCAAAAACGTTACTTTGATACAGATACAAGTGTCACATCTTGTCTCAAAAATGTTGAACTTTCAAGGTATACATTGGTGAAAATGTGAATTCAAGATGGCTGCCTCAAAATTGTGGTTTAAGCGAGAAAAACTAAAAAAATAATATATTTTTAGAATAACTTCTCAAAATCCTAGTGTTTAGCATCAATTTAGTATCCACGTTACTGATTTTAGCATATTTGCTGACAACTAATTCATATTAGAAAATTTCAAAATGGCGGATCCAAGATGACGACTAACAGGTACGAATAATCGTGAAAATTTCCAGATTTTCATGAATTTTCTTCTATATTTTCATATTCGTGAATTATTTTCGAGACGTACATACGCATATATACAGGGTCAGTAATTATAAACTTACAAACTTTATAAAAAACATAATAGACATCGAGATAAGTACAATGGACGGGAAAAAATTGGAATCGACTACGTAATGTTTTGAGAAAAATTATTAAATAAATGAGCGAATAAATACACAGCGGTCGGACATTGCGGGCCTGCTATTCCACACAGCTTGGACCGCTTAAACCACCATTTTGAGGCAGCCATCTTGAATTCACATTTTCACCAATGCATACCTTGAAAGTCCAACATTTTTGAGACAAGATGTGACACTTGTAGCTGTATCAAAGTAACGTTTTTGATACGAAATCAAGCTTATAAAAAATAAAATTGTCGATTTCTCACGACTTCTTTCAAAAAGCAGCTGAAGGTGCAGAACTCATTGCAAATGCTGGCCTGCATCCACTGAAGGTGTTGCTGTGTGCTTGGCAGGATTGCAGAGAAATTATTCACATCGATTTACTCCGACGCGGCGAAACAAACATGACGGAAAAGTACAGTGAACAACTCACTAGACCCGATGCGGTTATTCGAAAAAAACGTCCGGTTTTGGCCAATCGGAAAGACATCATCTTCCACCACGACAATGCTAGACCGCACGTCGCCCAACAGACGCTACAAACAGCAGCAGCAGTTATAATGAAATATTCCCCAGCACCCAGCATATTCTCTAGATATTGCCTTTAGATTTTCATGTGTTCCGGTCTTTACAGAATATATTGAAGGGCAAAAATCTTAAGTCCGAGAAAGCTGTCGAAAACCATCTCACGAACCTTTTTCAAAAAGAAGAAAGTTCTTTCTCCAAAAATGGATTCGACCAACTTGTAGATCGTTGGAAAACAATTGTAGAAAAGAATGGAGACTAAATAACTGATTAATAAAACTATATTCTTTAAAATTTAACCTGTTGAAATTTATTTTTAAATCAAACACGAACTTATGCACCATGCAATACTAAAATATAACACTAAATAAATACAAAATAACAATACATAAAAGAGTTGTATTCCGTTGGAATATTCTGCCTATCTGAGCAATATAAACAGTTCGTTTTTTCGTACAGATTGTTCTTCGTTGGTTCTGTGACCAGAAAGCGATTACACAACTATGACGTACTTTGATTCTTATCATAACCGATCATCGTGTGTAAGTTTGTGATTGGGACTCGCGACGATTATGTCATGTTGACATTATGTGTTTCCCTCATGAAGAAAATGTTCAAACTCTATTCGCTGCCGTCTTGACATGACCTTTTCTGTTTACCTGATATACCTCGCTTTCGGATATTGTCGATATCAAATAAGTAGCAATAATTTCAAACAGTTCCTTGTCGCACATACAGAGTACACATCGAAACGTGTCAGTTATCAGTACTTTCAGGTATCAGTAATTAGTCGAACCACGAAGAAAAATAAAGCTGTGCGGTTATGCGTACAAATTATTGCGGCATGCAGATTGAAAAAGATCAGTATCTCAATTAAAAGTGAATCAATAGAGAGAAACCGGAACAGGCTTTAAAGGGCAAACCGTGCGGCAAACGTTACAAAAATGGAGCAGCATTGAAAAGTGTATAAGTATCGACGTAATATCTGCGAACAAAACTTCTGAAGATGGATATGATAGATCTGGCCAAGATCGTTGATACAAATAAATGGAGCAGAAACAACTACCAAAGCAGCAAATTGGTAATCTTGTAAAATTACATTATATGAAAGCGCAAGGACGTTTATACATGTTCTTGGTAAGGTTAATTTTGTTTATAAATAGCAGGAAGATCTGTTAAACGACCTACGTTGTCTTCCGCCCAGCGAACAAGAAGGAAGCAATGTTACGCAGCCGGGACCGTCTTCCGTGAGTGATCCGTGCGGCGATCCTCCCACCAGGGGAGCGACACTAACAAATACAATAAATTCAAAACAATGCGACATTTGCAAACAAATCTTTCGCAGAAGACATGAGTTGATGGATCATTGCGAGAAGGTCCATAAACGTAGCATGTACAAATGTGACCGTTGCGACTATGAAACCAACCATAAGAATCACTTAAAAAGACACGAGAAAATACACGTAAAAAAACGTCCGACCAATAGCGGCGACTACGTGTGTACTGAGCCCGGCTGTAACAAGAGATATAAGAATAAGCATGATTTCATATGCCACATAAAGATTTGTCAGTATAAAAATAAGATGAAAAGCAATAATATGGGAACGGGACCGTCCTCAGAGATAATCTATACTTCAGAAAAAAAAAAGAAATGTACGAACTTTCTAGACAATGCAGAATTTGTGATCAAATGTTCCGTAATAAGAAAATGTTAATAGATCACTCAATGAAGGTTCACCAACATTGTGTGCACATATGTGAAGACAAAAAGTGCAATTACGAAACCAACAAACTGCGAGACATGCAAAAGCACTTTGTAAGAATGCACACGACTAATAAAAACTAAGTATGTAGTGGGACCGGCTGTAACTGGGTGAGAAAAGATCAGGAGTAGCTAAGGCAACACGTTCACCCTGACAAATAAAACAAGACGACGCGTTCACTCTGACAAATAAAAGAAAAGCAGTATTGAAGACCTACGGCTGTCTTCAGAGAGCGACCTGTACGGCAAACATTTCAGAAGAAGCCCCAGCATTGAAAAGCCCATAAATATGCCTCATAAATGCAAAATCTGCAACGGAATGTCTCTTTTTAAGTAATAGTTGGAAAAAATACCTCTTTACATATAGATCTTTACAAACAATCCATATACAACTGCAGCAATGGTTAACTACGTATTTAACAAGAATCATTTCCAAAGACCCATTGCACGAAATCACACGGACACTTATGGCTAAGTGTGTACTGAGCCTGTCTGTGGAAGTATAAATAGTAGGCGGGTCTGAAGACGCACATACAATCGTCCTATCAACCAGAAGAAAAGCAAAGCACATGGAAAATTATGACTACGTGCTTGACAAGAAAAGCTGCTACAAGAAATTCAAAACTTGAGGAGGAACTGAAGAAACAGGTAAAAATATGACCTTTCCAAAGACACCTACTAATGCCGAAAATATACTGAAGTAAACTCTAATTTTTTAAAGCACAGGAACGTGCGGAGAAATCCAGAGATTCAATTTGTGGTAAGGCTATACTAACAAAGAAAGGGTCGGAACTGTTCCTCACGGATTTTGACGGGCTTTGAATATATTGCAGAGCAATGAGAACTATTACACATGTATTCTTTTTACCGGCGAATTTCAAACTTTAGAAGTGTGCATGAAACAACCACTAAAGAAAACCAACATTTTAATTTTTTGCGAATATCTTCTAAAATGCGAGGTATATAAAAAAATGTGCCGCACAAAAGTTTTACAGTACTTTATATTATTTGCACTTAATTTGATGATTTTGAAATTTCCAAAGATAGGTAAATTAACAAAAGTAAAGTCACTATTATAGCAATATATTTTTCAAATTAAATTACCTAAGAAGGTCTAATTTTTTCCATTTTTTCTTTCGA